AGGACAGGTAGAGTATAGTGCCGACTATCGAGAGATAGATTGGTCCTGCCCCGCTGATCCCGACTGACTCGGTTAAATAAGGGCTCGCCGACCCGGTGGAATAAATCGTCGGCGATTAAATAACGGACTGGTGTGGTTTTTGCGAGGGTGTGGAAAGAGAGTGGAAGCGTGGGTGCGCTTGCTGTTCGCGGTGGTCGCCGCGTGTGGAGCGGCGCCGCGTGGGGTGTGTGCACTACAAACCCTCGGCTGCGGACTCCCACGTTGCGAGCGGATACCCAACTCGCACGCATGCCCATCGCATAGCCCTTTAAACCTGTTTAATCCAATCCCCCCAATCGCCGGAGTGGGTACGAACGACGTCGCTTACCGTCTGACCTCTAACCCCCTGTTACCCGCGTGTGATTGGTGCGTGGGACTGCGCGGGCGGGGAGCGTCGCGTTCGAGTGCCGGCGAAGCGCTAGCGGGTCCCAGGGCGGTCGAGGGTGATGCCTCACCGGCAGGAAACCCGGACTCGGGGGGGGGGACAGCACAGGGGGGGGAACAGGAGCGCGGCGACCTTTCCCCGCCCGGTGAGGAGTGCAGCGGCGGCAGCTCCCACACTAGTGGAGAGTCTGGGGGCGTCGGTACTTCGCGGACAGGGTCGCAGGCAGGAGATCCCGGGGGCCGACGACCCTAACATAGTGTTGAGTCTATGGTGCAGTGTTGAGTCTATGGTGCAGTGCTGAGTCTATGGTGCAGTGCTGAGTCTATGGTGCAGTGCTGAGTCTATGGTGCAGTGCTGAGTCTATGGTGCAGTGCTGAGTCTATGGGCAGTGCTGAGTCTATGGGGCAGTGTTGAGTCTATAGTGCAGTGCTAAGTCTATGGTGCAGTGTTGAGTCTATGGTGCAGTGTTGAGTCTATGGTGCAGTGCTGAGTCTATGGGCAGTGCTGAGTCTATGGGGCAGTGTTGAGTCTATAGTGCAGTGCTAAGTCTATGGTGCAGTGTTGAGTCTATGGTGCAGTGTTGAGTCTATGGTGCAGTGCTGAGTCTATGGTGCAGTGCTGAGCCTATGGTGCAGTGCTGAGTCTATGGTGCAGTGCTGAGTCTATGGGCAGTGCTGAGTCTATGGTGCAGTGTTGCGTCTATAGTGCAGTGCTAAGTCTATGGTGCAGTGTTGAGTCTATGGTGCAGTGTTGAGTCTATGGTGGAGTGCTGAGTCTATGGTGCAGTGTTGAGTCTATGGTGCAGTGCTGAGTCTATGGTGCAGTGTTGAGTCTATGATGCAGTGCTGAGTCTATGATGCAGTGCTGAGTCTATGGTGCAGTGTTGACTCTATGATGCAGTGATGAATCTATGGTGCAGTGCTGAGTCTATGGTGCAGTGCTGAGTCTATGGGCAGTGCTGAGTCTATGGGGCAGTGTTGAGTCTATGGTGCAGTGTTGAGTCTATGGTGCAGTGCTAAGTCTATGGTGCAGTGTTGAGTCTATGGTGCAGTGCTGAGTCTATGGTGCAGTGCTGAGTCTATGGTGCAGTGTTGAGTCTATGGTGCAGTGCTGAGTCTATGGTGCAGTGTTGACTCTATGATGCAGTGCTGAGTCTATCATGCAGTGTTGAGTCTATGTTGCAGTGTTGAGTCTATGGTGCAGTGCTAAGTCTATGATGCAGTGCTGAGTCTATGATGCAGTGTTGAGTCTATGATGCAGTGCTGAGTCTATGGTGCAGTGCTGAGTCTATGATGCAGTGTTGAGTCTATGGTGCAGTGTTGACTCTATGATGCAGTGCTGAGTCTATGATGCAGTGTTGAGTCTATGGTGCGGTGTTGAGTCTATGGTGCAGTGCTGAGTCTATGGTGCGGTGTTGAGTCTATGGTGCAGTGTTGAGTCTATGGTGCAGTGCTGAGTCTATGATGCAGTGCCGAGTTCCTGCAGACATCGTGGTGCTGACCCATTCAGTGACCACGGTTCCACGTTACAACGCGCGTCGCGTCGAGAATCGCCGCGCGTGACAGCGCATCCGAAACGCGTCGCTCCGACGATTCGTCTCGTGGGTCAGCAACGCTTTCGCGCACATCCACGCGAGAAGGGAGCCTTCGCCAACCCCCCCCCGACCCCCCGCGCTTAGGAGGCAAAGCGCGTTTATTTGATCGGCGAGCAGAAAAAAAGAACCATCGCACAAACTCGGGTCATGCTCGCGGGAGCAGAGTCGGCAGCGGCTTTTGGGCGGCCGTCGAACGAAGGCGGCGGTCGACGCGTCGCGTACTTCTGCGGCCGTCTGGAACGCTCTCCCCTCCGATGTCAGGAAGCCACCGGAGGCCAAGCTACGCACTTTTAAGTCATCTAGATTGACGAACTAATTTGTTTAGAACTGCTTCTTGTTGTTGTTGTGTTTAGGTTGTTGTCCACCCCCCCGCCCCATACCCTTTACCTCTGATTGGCTACGCACGTTGCAAAAGAAGTTCAACATACATACATACAAAGCAACTAAGCTAATTTAACATTGTTTTAATGGCTCGGTGAGCACTGCATTAACAGTTTGGCGCTGCAGTAAATGCCGCCCGTCCGTCCGTCCATCCTGAACCACCCAAATTGCAACTCTCGTCCATCGCATGACCAGCTTTGCTCACGTCTCTGCGTCTGACGGCGCAACTTTTCCTAGCCAGTCAACGCACGAAGCGCCTCGAAACTCACCGAACACCAAACTCTCTCACGCTCTCGTGGGTTCAGCCACGGAGCTCCCTTCCCGCTCGTGGCGCGGCTCGACCAATTTCGCGGTTCCGACCGCCACATTCCTGCTGTACAGCGTCGTGACTGCACTGCTCACGGTGACGATGACGACGATGACGACGACGCTGCTGCTACTGCTGCGGAACAAACACGGCGACATCTCCCGTCTCCTCTCCCCCCGTCTCGTCTCCCCTCGTCTCGTCTCCATCTCATCTCCCCCCGTCTCCGTCTCGTCTCTATCTCCGTCTCGTCTCCCCCCGTCTCGTCTCCATCTCGTCTCCCCCCATCTCCGTCTCGTCTCTATCTCCGTCTCGTCTCCCCTCATCTCGTCTCCGTCTCCTCTCCGTCTCCCCCCGTCTCGTCTCCATCTCATCTCCCCCCGTCTCATCTCCGTCTCATCTCCGTCTCCCCCTCATCTAGTTTCCGTCTCCATCTCCTCTCCGTCTCGTCTCCGTCTCATCTCCCCCCGTCTCGTCTCCGTCTCCTCTCCGTCTCGTCTCCGTCTCATCTCCCCCCGTCTCGTCTCCGTCTCCCCCCGTCTCCGTCTCCTCTCCATCTCCCCCCGTCTCCGTCTCGTCTCCTCTCCATTTCCTCTCCGTCTCCGTCTCGTCTGCCCCCGTCTCCAGAGTGGCCTATCGCAGGCCCCAGGCCACGTGGCGATGTTCCCAGCCTCCAGTGATGAGGCAGCGGAGTTCAGCCGCCCGGTGTACCGTACCGTACACGGATACCACCTGTACAGTACACGAATACCACCTTATAGTACTGTACACGAATACCACCTGTACGGTACTGTGCGTGCATACACCACACGCAGTACTGGTGTGTACAGCACACGGATATGTGTACACTACTGTGTGCGGATACCACGTGCACAGTACTGTACAAGGATACCACGTGTACAGTACTTGTTTTTTTCATTCTATACATTTAACGAACAATTTAGATTTTTTTTTACACTTGACAAAATACTTCCCGTTTGGTGCTTGTTGGGTCGACGCAGGGTAACAACGTAACAACAAAGGTAGGTCCGTGGGTGTCCATACTACGCTGAGCGCCGAACCAAACCACAGTGTACCGCTTCCCTTTGACCCGCACTCGGTTCAAGCAGAAAAAAATCCCCACCGCCGCACCTCCGTAAGCTAGGCCTCGGCAAGGTAAGGTAAAAGGTAAAAACGAGCCTACCTTTACCCTACCTTTTACCTTACCACAATACAATCACTCTACCCTACCTTTTACCCTTCAGCAGGTAAGGTAAAAGGTTCAAAGCAACGAGCCTACCTTTACCCTACCTTTTACCTTACCACAATACAATCACTCTACCCTACCTTTTACCCTTCAGCAGGTAAGGTAAAAGGTTCAAAGCAACGAGCCTACCTTTACCCTACCTTTTACCCTTACCCCATACAAACCCGATTACAGGGTAATTACTGGGGTACTACTACACATGAAAAAGGTTTATAACAGGCAAATGTTAGGTAGAGCGCTTTATTCATATAGAATACTCTCAATGATTCCAATATTACATGCTTTCTTTTAATTCACTCTGTTGTTGTATCCTCAAATCTTGTAACTCAATTTTAACCCACTTCCCAATGTGGTTTCGACTGCAAACTTGGTATACTTATGTCACACTGATGACAATACTAAATTCCATCATTAAAAATAAAATAAAAAATATTTTTAAACATTCTTTTACATGTTATGTTTCGGCTTGGGTCTAATTGTCCACTGTCAACTGACGTTGGCTGTAATTGGCCACTTCCTAGAGTCGTCGACTCGTGGAGTTCTGCCATTGCTAGTAGGGTACACGGCGTGTTTTGAAAACAAGTTTTGTTTAAAATATTACTTATTAAATCGAGGCCACTGACTGCGCCACGGAGCTTTTAGCGGTAAACAAGGCACCGCATTTACCGGGTAATTCTTCCGAGCTACCTTTACCCTACCCTTTACCTTACCCCTTGGCATGTCGACACCTTTACCTTTACCCTTTTACCCGGTAAAAAAGGTAAATTACCTTACCTTGCCGAGGCCTACCGTAAGCTACGTACGGTGGTGCGCGAAAGAGGTTCAACGTACAAAGACAAAGATCCCCCGTGTAGCCTTAACAGACTGTAGGGACAAGTGCTGTTAACGAGCACCTATGAAGGCCGGAACGGTACACGAGGGGGTGGGTGTTCAACACCACGCCCGACCGCCTTTGTCTCCCCAGTGGCGATGTTTACACACCGCACCAGGTACTCATTTGAGGCGGAGTCGACCTAGGGGAGGCCCAGGACCGGTTTAGATAATCGTCACTGGTGTTGGTCGTGAGCGGGAATCGAACCCGGGTCGCCAGGTTCATAGCGCAGCGTAGCGCTATGAACCGCTACACTACCGCTACACTACCGCTCCTCACACACACACACGCGCAAGCGTACGCAACAATTCAACCACAATGCACTTGACGGTTCCTCCTTCCCTGCTGATCTAAAAGTTCCTGAGTCTTGGCCATTCCGCGGTGCGTTGTTGGTTGGGCTACCGTGTGCCCGCCCGCTCCACATCACCGCGATTTCGCTTTCGCGCACCGTGTTGGAATTTTTTTTTTGGAAAGCATCTACCGCTGTCAAGTGAGGGACCAGACCTGCGCGGTGGAATTCGGCCTCTTCAAAGTGGAACTGGGATTCCATTTAACACGTAGCGGCAGGAGGCTTTTGCGATCAACGTTATCCATGACGGAGGTTTTTGGGTTTAGATCGCGTAAATGTGTCGTTAAACCTGCCACCACCTGACACAGCCAATTAGGTAAGGGGTTAACCCCTTCTCCCCCCACCCACCCCACCTCTAGCCTTTGCACCTGATTGGCTAACAAGTGATGACATCACATGCATCCCTCTATTTAAGACCGAAGCAGGGGGAGGATTTTCTCTGCAACTCTGTGGCTGTCGCCAGACGATGCCGGTTGTTGTTGTAACTACTGGAGAAACATCACGGCTACTCGAATTGTAAACGATGCGGTGGGTTTACTCTCCAACACACAGCAACCGGTGAGTGCTGAACTAGTGACTAACTGGCACCACGTTCCGTTTACGTGACAAACCCCTTCACTTAATTTGTTTGTGTCGGGTGGCGGCGGGCTTAACGACACTTTTACATTAACGCGCTCCAACCCCAAAACCTCTATGATGGGATTCCATTGATGCAAGCAGGTTTCCCAGATGACGCAAAGGTATACTTGATAAATAAACACCGGAGTGGGATGAATAGGTGGTAAGAATGTGCATGGGAACACGATTAAACCTGATTATGGATTAATTCAACCAAAAACGTGCTTCTGCAGCTTCCCAATGTCAGCAACAGCCAAGACTCCAGTGGCTGTCAAGCCAAAGAGTTTAAAGCGACGCCTCTGAACGTTAAACGGCCCACGCTCGGCTTCAAGACTCGTAGTGATTAAGACACTTGATGTGAAAGTTGAGGTTCGAAAGGTCCGCAAAGTTCCTCCCGCACACGAAGCACTTGTACGGCTTCTGCACGTTGTGCGTCTTCGTGTGCTTGTCGCGGGCCGACGGGCTCACGAAGCCCTTCTCGCAGATCGGGCACTGGTGCGGCTTCTCGCCCGTGTGGGTCATCATGTGGATCTTCAGCGCCGACAGGTGTACGAACTCCTTCTCGCACAGGGCGCACCTGTGCGACTTCCTGTCCGAGTGGGTCATCAGGTGGCTCTTGAGGGTCGAAAAATGCGTGAAGGTCTTCGCGCACAGGTCGCACTTGTGCGGCTTCTCGCCCGTGTGCGTCTTCATGTGGACGTTGAGCGTGGATACCTGCTTGAAGTCCTTCCCGCACACGGAGCACTTGTGCGGCTTCTCTCCCGTGTGGCTCATCATGTGATTCTTGAGAGACTTCGACTCGATGAAGCCCTTGCCGCACGCGGGGCACCGGTGCGGCTTCTCGCCCGTGTGGATCTTGACGTGGCTCCTGAGGTTGGAGAGGTGCGCGAAGGTCTTGCCGCACGTCGGGCACTCGTGCGGCCTCTCGCCCGTGTGGATCAGGAGGTGGCCCTTGAGCGTCGACGAGTCCGTGAAGGTCTTCCCGCACACCGAGCACATGTACGGCTTCTCGTCCGTGTGCTTCATCATGTGCCTCTTGAGGGCGAACGACTGGATGAATCCCTTTTCGCAAAGCGAGCACCGGTACGGCTTCTCCCCCGTGTGGATCATCGCGTGGCTCTTGAGGGCCGACGACTTTCGGAAACCCTTCCCGCACACGGAGCACTCCAGGGGCCGCTCCCCGGTGTGCGTCATCGCGTGGCTCTTGAGGCGCGACGGGCAGGAGAATCCCTTGCCGCACAGGGAGCACCGGTGGGACTTCTTCTCATCGCGGGCCTTCTGGTCGATCGTCGAACACTTCCGACTCCGGCTGTCCTCCAGGACCACCTCAATCTCGGCCACGTCCGACGAAAGCGCCCCGTCTCTACGTGAGCTCCGTGACCCTCTCCGAAGCCTCCCTTTGGAACCGCTGGCCTCGAAGGCTTCCTCGTCATCGCGGTCGTCAGCATCCCCCTCGTCGGAATGAAGGTCTCGCTCATCGGATTGAAGATCCTCACCGCTAAGGTCCTCTCCTTCGGACTCAGAGTCTTCTCCTTTCAAACGAATGTCGGATTCTTCCTGACCTAGGAAGCGAAACGTTGAGAGTTGAGGCTCAGTGCGAAGTCACACACGGGACAACGTCGGTTCGTGATGCGTACGCAGTAAAGGAGGAATGGTAAGAAATGGACAAGCAAGCCAATGTTCAGATGATTTTCAAATTATTATTATTTAGAGTATTACAACCGACAAAGGATTTAAAATCATGCAGTAGATGGGGGACAGTCGAGTCTCATCACCGTAATCTTACCAGGAGACAAACACACTTACTATCAAGACTATGAATCCCTGCAGTCACGAAAGCTTTAAATCAACACTTACTATCCTCGGTGTCTTCACTCTTCACTTTCACCCGTGGCCACGTCTCATTCCTCGGCTTTTCCTGATCAGCTTTCCCGTCGCGTGGCTGCACCGGCAAAGAGGCTGCCATCTCATCTGCCCAAAGTCAGAGCACAGCAGAACTACTGGACATCCGTGAACACTATTGGACATCTGTGAACGCTACTGGACATCCGTTAACACTACTGGACATCCGTTAACGCTACTGGACATCCGTTAACGCGACTGGACATCCGTTAACACTACTGGACATCCGTGAACACTACTGGACATCCGTGAACACTATTGGACATCCGTTAACACTACTGGACATCCGTGAACACTACTGGACATCCGTTAACACTACTGGACATCTGTGAAAAAGAGCTTTATAGCTCATCGGATTCCTCCAGTATAAATTTATAGGACTACATTACCCCCCCCCACCCCACTTCTCCTCTGGTCTTCGCACCTGATAGGCTTACTGCAGTAATGATGGCACACTTTTACTCCCCCTCTAAGGCCGGAAGACTTCTTCTCAATTGTTGGCTAATCGCCTGATGGAAGCTGCTGTCTGTTATTGTAATCACCAACGAAACGTCGTCAGCTACTCGAATGCGTCAATGTTGCTGCGGGTTTAACTCTCCCAACACACAACAACACAACCGGTTTAGTGCTGAACTAAGTACCTAATCAGCCACGTGTTGTTTCGGTGACACCCCTGCCCCCCCCCCCCCCCCCCCCCTCACTCATTGGCCATGTCGGGTAGTGGTGGTGGTGGCAGATTTAACGACACAACGTTTATATCCACGCGATCTAACCGAAACAACAAAACGCCCAAACCTTTATTGTGGATGTTGGTCGCGAAAGCCCCACGACTACCGCTACTACTCCTACGCGTTCAACCGACTCAATGCTAATGCCGCCCGCTCGCCCTGCGACTTTGCAGCCTGAAGGGAAAAGTGCGGGGAAGAATTCGCTCACCGGCGGCGGCATGAACATCCTCGCGCTGCGCGTCTCCTCCAAGGGGCGGCGTCTCACGGCCGGGGTCCCCTCCAGCGTCTCGCCCGACGGGCGACTGCCCCTCCTCGGACGACGGAGCCTCGGACATGCCCTCGTCGCTGACCGTGATGCAGAACGTGAAGAACCAGTGGCATCTACATCTACAAAACGTGAAGAACCAGTGGCATCTAAATTTCGATTTAAAGCTTTCGTGACTGCAAGGATTCATCTTCTTTGGTTCTTTCGGTAAAGTTACGTAGAACAAGAATAAACTAATAAATTGATAAAATAAAATAACACAATAATATTCTCACGACGTTTCGGCCACAACACAAGCGGCCTTCATCAGGTGAAGGGACGAGACTGTCTGGAGGACAGCGCTGGAGTGAAAAAGCCACGCTCAGATTGCGACCTTTAAGCTGTGTGAGAAGAAACAAAGCGCCTTGACAAAGGAATTAGCATTGAATTAAGCATTGAAATGGCGGAGTGATTAGCTTGTGACTGGTCACATGTACAGAATGTGAAGAACCAGTGGCATCTACATTTGTAGATCGTGAAGAATCAGTGGAATCTACATCTACAGAACGTGAAGAACCAGTGGCATCTACATCTGCAGAATGTGAAGAACCAGTGGCATCTACGTATACAGAACGTGAAGAACCAGTGGCATCTACATCTGCAGAACGTGAAGAACCAGTAGCATCTACATCTGCAGAACGTGAAGAACCAGTGGCATCAACATCTACAGAAAGTGAAGAACCAGTGGCATCTACATCTACAGAACGTGAAGAACCAGTGGCATCTACATCTACAGAACGTGAAGAACCAGTGGCATCTACATCTGCAGAACGTGAAGAACCAGTGGTATCTACAACTGCAGAACGTGAAGAACCAGTGGCATCTACATCTGCAGAACGTGAAGAACCAGTGGTATCTACATCTGCAGAACGTGAAGAACCATTGGTATCTACATCTACAGAACGTGAAGAACCAGTGGCATCTACATCTACAGAACGTGAAGAACCAGTGGCATCTACTTTTGCAGAACGTGAAGAACCAGTGGCATCTACATCTGCAGAACGTGAAGAACCAGTAGCATCTACATCTGCAGAACGTGAAGAACCAGTGGCATCAACATCTACAGAAAGTGAAGAACCAGTGGCATCTACATCTACAGAACGTGAAGAACCAGTGGCATCTACATCTACAGAACGTGAAGAACCAGTGGCATCTACATCTGCAGAACGTGAAGAACCAGTGGCATCTACATCTGCAGAACGTGAAGAACCAGTGGCATCTACATCTGCAGAACATGAAGAACCGGTGGCATCTACATCTGCAGAAGGTGAAGAACCGGTGGCATCTACATCTGCAGAAGGTGAAGAACCAGTGGCATCTACATCTGCCGAACGTGAAGAACGAGTGGCATCTACATCTGCAGAACATGAAAAACCGGTGGCATCTACATCTGCAGAAGGTGAAGAACCGGTGGCATCTACATCTGCAGAAGGTGAAGAACCAGTGGCATCTACATCTGTAGAGCGTGAAGAACCAGTGGCATCTACATCTGCAGAACATGAAGAACCAGTGGCATCTACATCTGCAGAACGTGAATAACCAGTGGCATCTACTTCTGCAGAACGTGAAGAACCAGTGGCATCTACATCTGTATAACGTGAAGAACCAGTGGCATCTACATCTGCAGAACGTGAAGAACCGTGGCATCTACATCTGTACAACGTGAAGAACCAGTGGCATCTACATCTGCAGAACGTGAAGAACCAGTGGCATCTACATCTGCAGAACGTGAAGAACCAGTGGCATCTACATCTGTAGAACGTGAAGAACCAGTGGCATCTACATCTGCAGAACGTGAAGAACCAGTGGCATCTACATCTACAGAACGTGAAGAACCAGTGGCATCTACATCTACAGAACGTGAATAACCAGTGGCATCTACATCTGCAGAACGTGAAGAAGCAGTGGCATCTACATCTGCAGAACGTGAAGAACCAGTGGCATCTACATCTGTAGAACGTGAAGAACCAGTGGTATCTACATGTACAGAACGTGACTAACCAGTGGCATCTACATCTGCAGAAGGTGAAGAACCAGTGGCATCTACATCTGCAGAACGTGAAGAACCAGTGGCATATACATCTGCAGAACGTGAAGAACCAGTGGCATCTACATCTACAGAACGTGAGGAACCAGTGGCATCTACATCTGCCGAAGGTGAAGAACCAGTGGCATCTACATCTGCAGAACGTGAAGAACCAGTGGCAACTACATCTGTAGAACGTGAAGAACCAGTGGTATCTACATCTGTAGAACGTAAAGAACCAGTGGCATCTACATCTGCAGAACATGAAGAACCAGTGGCATCTACATCTGCAGAACGTGAAGAACCAGTGGCATCTACATCTGCAGAACGTGAAGAACCAGTGGCATCTACATCTGTAGAACGTGAAGAACCAGTGGCATCTACATCTGTAGAACGTGAAGAACCAGTGGCATCTACATCTGTAGAACGTGAAGAACCAGTGGCATCTACATCTACAGAACGTGAAGGACCAGTGGCATCTATATCTGTAGAACGCAAAGAACCAGTGGCATCTACATCTGCAGAACATGAAGAACCAGTGGCATCTACATCCGCAGAACGTGAAGGACCAGTGGCATCTATATCTTTAGAACGCAAAGACCCAGTGGCATCTACATCTACAGAACGTGAAGAACCAGTGGCATCTACATCTGCAGAACGTGAGGAACCAGTGGCATCTACATCTGTAGAACGTAAAGAACCAGTGGCATCTACATCTACAGAACGTGAAGAACCAGTGGCATCTACTGAACGTCAATAACCAGTGGCATCTACATCTGCAGAACGTGAAGACCCAGTGGCATCTACAACTGCAGAACGTGAGGAACCAGTGGCATCTACATCTGCAGAACGTGAAGAACCAGTGGCATCTACATCTACAGAACGTGAAGAACCAGTGGCATCTACATCTACAGAACGTGAATAACCAGTGGCATCTACATCTGCAGAACGTGAAGAAGCAGTGGCATCTACATCTGCAGAACGTGAGGAACCAGTGGTATATACATCTGCAGAAGGTGAAGAACCAGTGGTATCTACATGTACAGAACGTGACTAACCAGTGGCATCTACATCTGCAGAAGGTGAAGAACCAGTGGCATCTACATCTGCAGAACGTGAAGAACCAGTGACATATACATCTGCAGAACGTGAAGAACCAGTGGCATCTACATCTGCAGAAGGTGAAGAACCAGTGGCATCTACATCTACAGAACGTGAGGAACCAGTGGCATCTACATCTGCAGAAGGTGAAGAACCAGTGGCATCTACATCTGCAGAACGTGAAGAACCAGTGGCATCTACATCTGTAGAACGTGAAGAACCAGTGGTATCTACATCTGTAGAACGTGAAGAACCAGTGGCATCTACATCTGCAGAACATGAAGAACCAGTGGCATCTACATCTGCAGAACGTGAAGAACCAGTGGCATCTACATCTGCAGAACGTGAAGAACCAGTGGCATCTACATCTGTAGAACGTGAAGAACCAGTGGCATCTACATCTGCAGAACGTGAAGAACCAGTGGGATTTACATCTGCAGAACGTGAAGAACCAGTGGCATCTACATCTGCAGAACGTGAAGAACCAGTGGCATCTACATCTGTAAAACGTGAAGAACCAGTGGCATCTACATCTGCAGAACGTGAAGAACCAGTGGCATCTACATCTGTAGAACGTGAAGAACCAGTGGCATCTACATCTGTAGAACGTGAAGAACCAGTGGCATCTACATCTGTAGAACGTGAAGAACCAGTGGCATCTACATCTGTAGAACGTGAAGAACCAGTGGCATCTACATCTGTAGAACGTGAAGAACCAGTGGCATCTACATCTACAGAACGTGAAGGACCAGTGGCATCTATATCTGTAGAACGCAAAGAACCAGTGGCATCTACATCTGCAGAACATGAAGAACCAGTGGCATCTACATCTGCAGAACGTGAAGGACCAGTGGCATCTATATCTGTAGAACGCAAAGACCCAGTGGCACCTACATCTACAGAACGTGAAGAACCAGTGGCATCTACATCTGCAGAACGTTAGGAACCAGTGGCATCTACATCTGTAGAACGTAAAGAACCAGTGGCATCTACATCTACAGAACGTGAAGAACCAGTGGCATCTACTGAACGTCAATAACCAGTGGCATCTACATCTGCAGAACGTGAAGAACCAGTGGCATCTACAACTGCAGAACGTGAGGAACCAGTGGCATCTACAGAACGTGAGGAACCAGTGGCATCTACAGAACGTGAATAACCAGTGGCATCTACATCTGCAGAAGGTGAACAACCAGTGGCATCTACAGAACGTGAGGAACCAGTGGCATCTACAGAACGTGAATAACCAGTGGCATCTACATCTGCAGAAGGTGAATAACCAGTGGCATCTACATCTGCAGAAGGTGAACAACCAGTGGCATCTACATCTGCAGAATATTAAGCAACTTTTAAAGCCATTTCCCGTGTTTAGTGCACGCGCAGTACAACACGTTTGTACTTACGACCAGACAGACCACCTGGAACACAACTCGTTTGTAAGTAGAGGCAGTCCCTGCAAGGTCATCGCACACACAGAGAGAGAGAGACCCATATTCATTGAGTAATTTGGTTGCAGGAATAGGAGGGAGGCATGGGAGCAGATGAATAGGAGGTGCAGCAGGGATAGAAGGATAGAGGAGCAGGAATGAGAGCAGGAGGATGAAGAGGAGCAGGAATGCGAGCAGGAGGATGAATATGAGGAATGAGAACAGGAGGATGAATAGGAGGAATGAGAGGTGGATGAATAGGAGGAATGAGAACAGGAGGATGAAGAGGAGCAGGAATGAGAGCAGGAGGATGAATGAGGAATGAGAGCAGGGGGATGAATAGGAGGAATGAGAGCAGGAGGATGAATGAGGAATGAGAGCAGGAGGATGAATAGGAGGAGGAATGAGAACAGGAGGATGAATAGGAGGAATGAGAGCAGGAGGATGAATAGGAGGAATGAGAACAGGAGGATGAATAGGAGCAGGAATGAGAGCAGGAGGATGAATGAGGAATGAGAGCAGGAGGATGAATATGAGGAATGAGAGCAGGAGGATGAAGAGGAGGAGGAGGATGAAGAGGAGCAGCAGGAACAGGACGATGAGAAGCAGCAGGAATAGGAATAGGGTGAAGAATAGGAGGGAGGAATGGGAGCAGATGAATAGGAGGTGCAGCGGGAATATAAGGGGATAGGAATAGGATAGGGTGAGGAATAGGAGGAAGATGACGATGAGAAGCAGCAGGAATAGGAGGAGCAGCAGGAATAGGAGGATGAAGAGGAATAGAAGGAATGAGGAGGAGGAATGAGAAGGAACAGGAGGAACAGGAGGAATGAGGAGGAATAGGAGCAGGAGGAATGAGGAGGAATGAGGAGGAGGAGGAATAGGAGGAATGAGGAGGGATAGGAGGAATGAGGAGTAATGAGGAGCAGGAGGAATGAGGAGGGACAGGAGGAATGAGGAGGAATGATGAGGAGGAGGGATAGGAGGCGGCTCGCACCAGGAGGAGGAATGAGCAGCAGCAGGCGCCTCGCTCTGCCCCCACGCCGAGCAGCGTCGGCTCAGCCCGAGGACCTTCCCAGGGTAGTGGGGGGGCGGTAGTGGTGGTGGGGGGGGGGTGGAGCGAGAGGACCCCCACGAGTGTGGGGGCAGCAGCAGCAGAGAGGCGAGATAACGCAGGAGACGCTTCACTTGCAGAGCGGCAGTGGCGGCGGTGGTGGTGGTGCAGCTCTCTCCACTCCAAGCCGGTTGGAGGAAGAGTGGGCGGGGTCACGGGTAGGGGCGGGGTCACAAAATTGAGGGCGCGGCCACGAATCGAGTGAGCGGGGCCACTTATAGAAGGGGCGGGCCACTTATAGAAGGGGCGGGCCACTTATAGAAGGGGCGGGCCACTTATAGAAGGGGCGGGCCACTTATAGAAGGGGCGGGCCACTTATAGAAGGGGCGGGCCACTTATAGAAGGGGCGGGCCACTTATATAAGGGGCGGGGCCACTTATAGAAGGGGCGGGGCCGCTTATAGAAGGGGCGGGGCCACTTATAGAAGGGGCGGGGCCGCTTATAGAAGGGGCGGGGCCACTTATAGAAGGAGCGGGGGGCATTTATAGAAGGGGCGGGGCCTCAGGTGGGAGGGGCAGGGCATCCAGTGGGAGGGGCGGGGCTACGAAATGGTGGAGGGGGATCAGGAGGTGACGAGTCTGAGCCGGCCGTGACGAAGGATCGTTGCCCGAAACGTCTCCCCCCCTCCCCCCACGTCAAAGTGGTGGTGGCGGCGTTTGGAGTGCTTCGTCTTGGCTGTGCATTCACTTGCCGGCTGTAGACCCCCACCCACCTACTCAGCCACGCTCCGCGTTCGACGTTTCGCGCTCCGCCTCTCCCGCGGTGTGATCCGGGCGATGGTCACTGCCTCGCCAGGTGTACAGGAGGTCGTGGTCGCGTGTAAGGTTTGTGTAGTGTGTAGGTGTAGTGTGTCGGTGTGTGTGTAGTGTGTGTGTGGTGTGTGTGTGTGGTGTGTGTGTGTGGTGTGTGTGTGTAGGTGTGTGTGTGTGGTGTGTGTGTGTGGTGTGTGTAGGTGTGTGTGTGTGTGGTGTGTGTGTGGTGTGTGTGGTCTGTGTGTGTGGTGTGTGTGTGTAGTGTGTGTGTGTAGTGTGTGTGTGTAGTGTAGGTGTAGTGTGTAGGTGTAGTGTGTCGGTGTGTGTGTAGTGTGTGTGTGTAGTGTGTCGGTGTGTGTGTAGTGTGTGTGTGTAGGTGTGTGTGTGTAGTGTGTAGGTGTAGTGTGTGTGTGTGTAGTGTGTGTGTGTGGTGTGTGTGGTCTGTGTGTGTGGTGTGTGTGTGTGTAGGTGTGTGTGTGTGGTGTGTGTGTGTAGTGTGTGTGTGTAGGTGTGTGTGTGTAGTGTGTAGGTGTAGTGTGTAGTGTGTCGGTGTGGTGTGTCGGTGTGTGTGTAGTGTGTGGTGTGTGTGGTGTGTGTGCGTAGGTGTGTATGTGTGTAGGTGTGTGTGTAGTGTGTGTGTGGTGTGTGTGTGTAGTGTGTGTGTAGGTGTGTGTGTGTAGGTGACTTGGTAATAGCGGCTCAGTCAGAGGAGGAGTTGGAGACGCTGCTGCTGAGACTGGAGCGTGCCACTAAGAGGTGGGGCCTTACCATCAGCCCCACCAAAACTAAGCACCTGCCTGGGTATTTTGTACCATCGGACACTCCACCCCCACAACTCCCAATCGGTGATGGGGCAGTTGTGGAGAGAGTGGAGAGTTTCCCATACCTGGGCAGTGTGCTTATGACTGGCTCCAGTTTAACAGCAGAGGTCTCACTCCGAATCAGTCGAGCGGCAATATCTTTTCATCGGTTGCGTAACGCTGTGTGGAAGCTACCTGGTCTGTCGCTCCGCACTAAGCTTCAGGTCTTCTCGGCCACGGTCATTCCCTCCCTTCTCTACGCTTGCGAAACGTGGACCCCCCTAATGGAACATCTTCGCCGGTTAGAAACATTTAGGCTGACCTGCCTACGATCCATCCTGGGTTTAACCAGACTGGATTGTGTGAGGAGCTCACAAATCCTTGAAAGATCTGGGCAGGGTCCCATCGGTGAGCTCCTCCGGCAGGCAAGGCTGCGATGGCTGGGTCATGTAGCCCGCATGCCCAGCCACCGCATGCCGAAACAGCTTTTGTTTGGCCGGATTGAGGGGGCTAAGCGGGCGCGGCACGGGCTAGAGAAGAGATGGAGTGATGTGGTACAGGAGGACGTGGAGCTGAGTGGACTTGCCGATGACTGGTACCAGCGGTGTCAAGATCGGCCTCTGTGGAGGAGGCTCGTGAAGGATGCTACTGGGCAGTTGGAGGCAGTCGCCCTCCAACAACAACGGAGGGCGGAGGAGCGACGCTCACAACAGCGAGCGGAGCGCCGGGTGGCTAAAGCACAGCAGGTTGGCACAGTAGGGGGCACAGGTGGTGCATCAGCCAGTCATCTCAGTCGACCCGTGGCACCTGGGTCTGCCCCGTGACCTCCTGCCAGCGGGCGTTCGACACTTCACGTGGCCTCAGGGTGCACATAGCCTGGCACAAGCGTCGTGGTGACGTCACCGCCACTTAGTGGCGAATGGCGGTTGTTGTTGTTGTTGTTGTGTAGGTGTGTGTGTGTAGGTGTGTGTGTGGTGTGTGTGTTTAGGTGTGTGTGTAGTGTGTGTGTGTGTGTGTAGGTGTGTGTGTGTGTAGTGTGTAGGTGTAGTGTGTGTAGTGTGTATGGTGTGTGGTGTTTGTGTGTGGTGTGGTGTGTGTAGGTGTGTGGTGTGTGTGTGTAGGTGTGTGTGTGGTGTGTGTGTGTAGTGTGTAGGTGTAGTGTGTGTGTGTAGTGTGTATGGTGTGTGGTGTTTGTGTGTGGTGTGTGTGTGTAGGTGTGTGTGTGGTGACTTCAATGCCCGAGTTGGTCATGATACTGGCACCTGGTCTGGAGTGATTGGAGGGAATGGGCCAGATCAGCTCAATAACAACGGTAGGAGGCTGCTAGATTTTTGTGCAGCCCATGGGCTTGTAATTACCAACACGCTGTTCTGGCATCGGCGCATCCACACAACATCATGGATGCATGCCGGGTCCAAGCAAGAACATCTGTTGGACTACATAGTGACGGACCAGCGAATGCGAGCCCATGTCCTTGACACCAGGACCTACCGTGGAGCTGATCTGCCCTCTGACCATCGACTAGTCATCTGTAAGATGCGCCTGCCATTCTTCCACTCCGGTGGTGGGTGTACACCCAGGACCCCATTCCAACATAAAGTGGCCTGGTCTCAGTTATCTGATGAAAGTTGCAAGCGAGAATTTCATCATCGCTTGCGGCTGGGGTTGGCATCGTCCCCGACTCCTCCTGATGTCGAGGGTAAATGGGCGAGGTTTAGGACTGTGACTCATGCAGCTGCAATGGCTGCTTTGGGTACGCGGTCCAGACCTCCCCAGAGACCCTGGCTGACAGAGGAGGTGTTCAGGATGGTTGAGAAAAAGCGACAGGCCCACTGTCATCGGCTACAGAATCCCACGTCAGAGAATGAGGAGGCTTACTGCAGCCTTCGCTCGGAGGTTCGGAGAGCCGTGAGGCGCTGCAAGGATGGGTGGTGGTCGCGGGTTGCTGAGGAGATGGAGTCTGCCTCAGTGGCCCGTGATCACAAATCTCTATTTAACTCCATCAAAAAAGTAACCTGCAGCGCCACACCTATTACCATCATTAGGGGAAAAAACGGTGATCCAATCTCTGACCCCCAGGAACAGGTTCGCAGATTTGTGAGCATTTCTGTGAGGTCCTGGGGGAGGGAAAATCCCTCAGCCAGGAAAACATCGTGGCACAAAGTGAGGATGACACTGCTGAGGCTGCGGTGCCTCAAATATTGGAAGAAGTCACCCCCTGTGAGTGGCTGGCTGAGGTGCCATCTGCTGAGGAAGTATTGAAGGCGATCCGGAGTCTGAGACCAGGAAAGGCAGCAGGCAGAGATGATCTCCCAAGCGAAATGCTGAGGGAGGGTGGCGTTTGTACACAGACTGCCCTATATGACATCATAACAACAGTCTGGACCACTGGACGGGTTCCGCAGGATTGGAAGGATGCCCTGGTGGTCCCCCTTTTTAAGAAGGGGGACTGCACAGACTGTAACAACTACAGGGGCATCTCACTCCTCAGTGTGCCGGGAAAGGTCCTGGCAAGGATTATTCAGCATCGCCTTGCCAGGCACGCTGAGGAGAGGCTTGCGGAGCCCCAATGCGGTTTCAGGAAAGGGCGGTCCTGCACAGATGCCATATTTTCTGTGCGTCTGCTACAGCAGAGGTGTAGGGAATTCCAACAAGACCTACATCTCTGCTTTATTGACCTGGTCAAGGCCTATGATACCATCAGTAGGCCTGGGCTCTGGGTCGTTCTTCGTGCTTTTGGAGTACCTGACCCTCTGCTCACGGTCATTAAGGACCTTCATGATGGTGAGCGGGCCCGGGTAAAACTACGTGGCCGGGAGTCAGAGCCATTCCCTGTACACCTTGGGGTGTGACAGGGATGTCCTTTGGCTCCCACATTATTTAACATCTATTTTGACCACGTAGTTCGTGAAGCCTTCAATAGCTGTACCGGGGGAATCTCCATATGGTACAGATATAATGGGAGGCTAATCGATGCCCGGGTGCGGTCAAAGGATGACTCCCTATTGCTCAACCACGTTATGTATGCTGATGATTTGGTAATAGCTGCTCAGTCAGAGGAGGAGTTGGAGACGCTGCTGCTGAGACTGGAGCGTGCCACTAAGAGGTGGGGCCTTACCATCAGCCCCACCAAAACTAAGCACCTGCCTGGGTATTTTGGACCATCGGACACTCCACCCCCACAACTCACAATCGGTGATGGGGCAGTTGTGGAGAGAGTGGAGAGTTTCCCATACCTGGGCAGTGTGCTTATGACTGGCTCCAGTTTAACAGCAGAGGTCTCACTCCGAATCAGTCGAGCGGCAATATCTTTTCATCGGTTGCGTAACGCTGTGTGGAAGCTACCTGGTCTGTCGCTCCGCACTAAGCTTCAGGTCTTCTCGGCCACGGTCATTCCCTCCCTTCTCTACGCTTGCGAAATGTGGACCCCCCTAATGGAACATCTTCGCCGGTTGGAAACATTTAGGCTGGCCTGCCTACGATCCATCCTGGGTTTAACCAGACTGGATTGTGTGAGGAGCTCACAAATCCTTGAAAGATCTGGGCAGGGTCCCATCGGTGAGCTCCTCCGGCAGGCAAGGCTGCGATGGCTGGGTCATGTAGCCCGCATGCCCAGCCACCGCATGCCGAAACAGCTTTTGTTTGGCCGGATTGAGGGGGCTAAGCGGGCGCGGCACGGGCTAGAGAAGAGATGGAGTGATGTGGTACAGGAGGACGTGGAGCTGAGTGGACTTGCCGATGACTGGTACCAGCGGTGTCAAGATCGGCCTCTGTGGAGGACGCTCGTGAAGGATGCTACTGGGCAGTTGGAGGCAGTCGCCCTCCAACAACAACGGAGGGCGGAGGAGCGACGCTCAGAACAACGAGCGGAGCGCCGGGTGGCTAAAGCACAGCAGGTTGGCACAGTAGGGGGCACAGGTGGTGCATCAGCCAGTCATCTCAGTCAGTCGACCCGTGGCACCTGGGTCTGCCCCGTGACCTCCTGCCAGCGGGCGTTCGACACTTCACGTGGCCTCAAGGTGCACATAGCCTGGCACAAGCGTCGTGGTGACGTCACCGCCACTTAGTGGCGAATGGCGGTTGTTGTTGTGTGGTGTGTGTGTGTGGTGTGTGTAGGTGTAGTGTGTCGGTGTGTGTGTGGTGTGTGTGTAGGTGTGTGTGTGGTGTGTGTGTGTAGTGTAGGTGTGTGTGTGTAGTGTAGGTGTGTGTGTGTGTGTGTATATATAGTGTGTGTAGGTGGTGTGTGTCTGTAGGTGTGTGTAGGTGTGTGTAGATGTGTGTGTGGTGTGTGTGTGTAGGTGTGTGTAGTGTGAGTGTAGGTGTGTGTGTAGATGTGTGTGTGTGGTGTAGGTGTGTGCGTAGATGTGTGTGTGTGGTGTGTGTATGTGTAGTGTGTGTGTGGTGTGTGTAGGTGTGTGTGTGTAGGTGTCCGTCTGCTACAGCAGAGGTGTAGGGAATTCCAACAAGACCTACATCTCTGCTTTATTGACCTGGTCAAGGCCTATGATACCATCAGTAGGCCTGTGCTCTGGGTTGTTCTTCATGCTTTTGGAGTCCCTGACCCTCTGCTCACCATCATTAAGGACCTTCATGATGGTGAGCGGACCCGGGTAAAACTACGTGGCCGAGAGTCAGAGCCATTCCCTGTACACCTTGGGGTGCGATAGGGATGTCCTCTGGCTCCCACATTATTTAACATCTATTTTGACCACATAGTTCGTGAAGCCTTCAATAGCTGTACCGGGGGAATCTCCATATGGTACAGATATAATGGGAGGCTGATCGATGCCCGGGTGCGGTCAAGGGATGGCTCCCTATTACTCAACCACGTTATGTATGCCGATGATTTGGTAATAGCTGCTCATTCAGAGGATTTGGAGACGCTGCTGCTGAGACTGGAGCGTGCCACTAAGAGATGGGGCCTTACCATCAGCCCCACCAAAACTAAGCACCTGCCTGAGTATTTTGTACCATCGGACACTCCACCCCCACAACTCCCAATCGGTAATGGGGCAGTTGTGGAGAGAGTGGAGAGTTTCCCATACCTGGGCAGTGTGCTTTTGACCGGCTCCAGTTTAACAGCAGAGGTCTCACTCCGAATCAGTCGAGCGGCAATATCTTTTCATCGGTTGCGTAACGCTGTGTGCAAGCTACCTGGTCTGTCACTCCGCACTAAGCTTCAGGTTTTCTCGGCCACGGTCATTTCCTCCCTTCTCTACACTTGCGAAACGTGGACCCCCCCAATGGAACATCTTCGCCGGTTAGAAACATTTAGGCTAGCCTGCCTACGATCCATCCTGGGTTTAACCAGGCTGGATTGTGTGAGGAGCTCACAAATCTTTGAAAGATCTGGGTAAGGTCCCATCGGTGAGCTCCTCCGGCAGGCAAGGCTGCGTTGGCTGGGTCATGTTGCCCGCATGCCCAGCCACCGCATGCCGAAACAGCTTTTGTTCGACCGGATCGAGGGGGCTAAGCGGGCGTGGCATGGACTAGAGAAGAGATGGAGTGATGTGGTACAGGAGGACGTGGAGCTGAGTGCCCTTGCCGATGACTGGTACCAGCGGTGTCAAGATCGGCCTCTGTGGAGGAGGCTCATGAAGGACGCTACTGGGCAGTTGGAGGTAGTCGCCCTCCAACAACAACGGAGGGCGGAGGAGCGACGCTCACAACAACGAGCGGAGCGCCGGGTGGCTAAAGCACAGCAGGTTGGCACAGTAGGGGGCACAGGTGGTGCATCAGCCAGTCATCTCAGTCATCTTAGTCGACCCGTGGCACTTGGGTCTGCCCCGTGACCTCCTGCCAGCAGGCGATAGACACTTCACGTGGCCTCAAGGTGCACATGGCCTGGCAAAAGCATCGCGGTGACATCACTGCAACTTAGTGGTGAATTGGCGGTTGTTATTGTTGTTGTGTGTGTAGGTGTGTGTATCAGTGTGTGTAGGTGTACATGTTATACGTTATAACGAGGGCTTACCAGAGGTAGTAATAAGGGCCGTGCGTGTATGACTTTCACCACGAAGGGGGACAAGTTATGAGATTCTTGGGATTAATAGGACAAAATAGCAATGATTTTATCATTTGTGTCAGCGATCAGATCAGTGCATCGCTTTTGACCACGAGTCTCGTGTCATTCTCAGACCGCACCTCTGATTAGCACCGTTCAGCATACATAGTACAATACACGCTACATACTACACTTCTATACACTACACCATACACTGCTATACACTACACTACACACCACACTACTATACACTACACTATATACTACACTACACACTGCTATACACTACACACTACTATACACTACACTATACACTACACTATACACTACACTATACACTACACTACACACTGCTATACGCTACACTATACATACACACCGAAGACTCCGGGCTGACTGAGCAAGGGATCTGCAGGAGGACATCCTCTCTGTGGTGAGATGTCGCGTAGAGGGGATGATGGACCACGGGGACAGGCTCCTGCTGCTGCTGCTGCTGGTGGTGAGTAGTCCTCTAGCTGCACTTAGCCTGGCGCTAGCGGCCGTGGTGGTGGTGGCGGTGGTGACGGTCCCTGCTAGCGAGCGGCGCTTGTTGCTGGGCGCTGTCTCTGCGTTTGCTTCCTTCCCGCTGCAACCTAACGGAGAGAAGCAGCTGCGGTGGCAGCAGCGGCGGCGGCGGCGTCTTTTTGAGTCTCTCACTGCGCTGGATTCCTCTTGGGACAGGAGACGTGGAAGAGGAGGTGGAAGAGGAGGTGGAGGAGGAGGTAGAGGTGGTCCCTTCTCTACCCGTGGAGCCGCTCGTGAAGCAAGAGGAGGAGGAGGAGGAGCCGGGCGGTGAGACGTGGCCGCCCGTGAAGGTGGAGAGAGACGACGCTGACGACGGTGAGTGACCTCCCCTGTTCACATCCTTCTGGGGGCTGAACTTTGAGCTTCTGTTTCATGACCGGAAAGATTTTCCGGTTCTGGCAACGGAAAATAACATTGCCCTGTTCATTTCCTCACATACCATCATGCTGCGTACACATTGAAAACTTTTCTCAACGTAAAGGCTCGTTACTTTAGAACAGTCTTTTTGTGGTTAGTTTGTTGTCCTTCCCCCGCACCTCCGACGAGCACTGTCGGCTCCGTACGGCGGTGCGAAAGAAGTTCAACTCGCACGCACGTAGACTCACATGGGGACACCCATAGACTTGCACGCGCACTTTGAAATAATCGAGACTGAAAACGAATTTATTTCGAACTGCTTGTCCGTTGTGTTCAGTTTATTGTTCTTCAGCACGGTCGGCTACGTACTGTGCGAAAGAAGTTCAACACACACATACATACATCGCGAGCAATGTTGTCTCGTGCGTACATTTGTACAGAGCTCAACTCTTAATGTTTCGTCCCCTAGGTCAAGACCCTGACATTCACTTGAAAGAAGAAGAAGAAGAAGGAGAAGAAGACTCTCAGTCTGAAGGAGAGGACCCAAGCAGCGAAGTTGAAGAAGAAGATCTTCAATCTGATGAAGACGATGGTCACGTTGAACAGACCGGTGGCTCCAGAGGGAGGCTTCGGCGAGAGTCACGGATATCGCGAAGAGACGGGGCGACTTCGTCGGACGTGGCCGAGATTGAGGTGGTCCTGGAGGACGACAGGAGTCGGAAGTGTTCGACGATCGACCAGAAGGCCCGCGACGAGAAGAAGTCCCACCGGTGCTCCCTGTGCGGCAAGGGATTCTCCTGCCCGTCGCGCCTCAAGAGCCACGCGATGACGCACACCGGGGAGCGGCCCCTGGAGTGCTCCGTGTGCGGGAAGGGTTTCCGAAAGTCGTCGGCCCTCAAGAGCCACGCGATGATCCACACGGGGGAGAAGCCGCACAAGTGTCCGTTGTGCGAGCACAGCTTCATCCAGTCGTCCGCCCTCAAGAGGCACGTGATGAAGCACACGGACGAGAGGCCGCACTGGTGCCCCACGTGCGGCAAGGCCTTCACCGACTCGTCGACGCTCAAGGGCCACCTCCTGATCCACACGGGCGAGAGGCCGCACGAGTGCCCGACGTGCGGCAAGACCTTCGCGCACCTCTCCAACCTCAGGAGCCACGTCAAGATCCACGCGGACGAGAAGCCGCACCGCTGCCCCGTGTGCGGCAAGGGCTTCGCGGAGGCGAAGTCTCTCAAGAACCACGCGATGAGCCACACGGGAGAGAAGCCGTACAGGTGTCTGTTGTGCCAGATGGGCTTCGTGCAGCCGTCCGCCCTCAAGAGGCACATGATGAAGCACACGGACGAGAGGCCGCACAGGTGCTCGGCGTGCGGCAAGGCCTTCGCCGATTCGTCGACGCTCAAGGGCCACCTCCTGATCCACACGGGCGAGAGGCCGCACGGGTGCCCAACGTGCGGCAAGACCTTCGCGCACCTCTCCAACCTCAGGAGCCACGCCAAGATCCACACGGGCGAGAAGCCGCACCGCTGCCCCGTGTGCGACAAGCGTTTCATCGAGGCGAAGTCGCTTAAGAATCACGCGAAGACCCACACGGGGGAGAAGCACAAGTGCGATTCGTGCGAGAAGACCTTCACGCATTTGTCCACGCTGAAGAGTCACAAGATGTCCCACTCGGATGAGAAGCCGCACAAGTGCGCCCTGTGCGAGAAGGAGTTCGTACACCTGTCAGCCCTGAGGAACCACACGATGACCCACACGGGCGAGAAGCCGCACCAGTGCCCAATATGCGAGAAGTTCTTTGTGACCACCTCGGCTCGCGATCGCCACATGAAGACCCACGACGTGCAGAAGCCGTACAAGTGCTTCGTGTGCGGGAGAAACTTTGTAGATCCGGCGAACCTGAACTTTCACATCAAGTGTCTTAATCACTACGAGTCTTGAATCCAAGTACGTTCAATAGCTCCGCTTTAAATCCTTGACTTCTTGAGGTGTGACATGTAGAGAAAGGTAACGGACATGGGGGGGGGGGATGTAAAACTACTGGAGGCAATAGAGGCCTGGATAGTCTTCTTCTTTCTCATAGCATTTTTGGGGAATTGCAACAGATTACAAATTGATGTCGAGATTTGATATCCCATCGACCCCGCGGATTTGTTTCGGATCGCCGTCGAATGATCCGATTGGGCGGTCGTTCACGATACGTTGGCACGGTCTGAGATGTCGCACCACCACCATCACCTCAGTCACAAATTGAACTCGTTAATTTTCCGTTCATGGAGATAGGTGCCCCGAACATCTTCCATGGAGCGTCCGGATGCGGTTCAAGGAGGACCCAGGATCTCCCTCGGCAGGTCAGATCCCTGGTTGGAGGATTGCGAGGATCGCTGACGATGGATTTCTGCAGCAGGGTTGGTTGTTTTGCCCCAAGGCTTCCCTCCACCGTGCTTCGGTGGACTTCTTGTCGTCAAGGATGGTTCTTCGCATTCCTGCCAGGAAGGTTTTTCTGTATTGGAGCTGCCTGTGCCGGTGATGGTTGGCGGCATGGAGATGTCCTTGTCTACAGGAGGGCTTGGATTTCTGATGGCCTTGCGGGGTACTCCCTCACATGCACACGGCGGAGCTGCGGAGGAGCGACGTTCGCGAGGAGGCCGGGGCAGCGGCGGACGTTGCCCTTTAGCGACCCCCCCGAGATGATCCTCGTGGCCACATTTAGCTGTTTCGTATCCACGCACGCTTCGTGTGCACGCTTTTGGTTCTGGGCCAGGGCGCTGCGGTGGCCCGTTCGGAGCGTCGTTGCGTTTGCTCCCCACAATGTTCCGGCCAGCTTATGCACGCGAGATATTGCTGGTTTAGGTTTTTTTTTTTTTACGGCAGCATCCTGCAGGTGTTTTTCGCGAGACGGTGAGGCTCCTGTCGAGAGTTACACCACCCGAGGTATTCCGTGGTGCTTCTCGCGCTGGGCCTCCTCGCCACAGAAAGCGACGGTCGGTTTCTGGTCGGTGTTTGCGCTGTTCCGGCGGAATTAAGTTCCAGGCAGTTTTCCTGGGGTTTGAACGGAGCCTCCGGAACTTTAAGTACATTACGAGTATCTTGAAGTCTTCGAACACACACACACACGTGTGGGTCGTTTTGGACCAAAGTTTGGGTCCTTCTTTGGTCGGGAAGTGGCCAGGTCATCGGCGTAGCCAAATTTCCGGCCAATGGTGACAGGGATGTCACGTGTATATATATATGTTATAAAGTGCCGGAACAAGTATTGATCCCTTTGGGAGCCCGTTATTGAGTAAGCGGGCTCTGCTGACCGTGTTCCCTAGGGCGGACTCGGTATCGCCGGTTGGATAGTGGCGATGGTAGGAGTCGGAGCCTGGATGGTGGCGGTAATGCTGGAAACTAAACTATTTTATTTACCAGGTAAAGCCGACCGAGCTCTTTGCTCTTTATCAGAGGCGACCTGGGCACACGTGATTGGGCATCGTGGCGGGTAACATCGTCGTTTCTTCGCCTGTTCAAATTGCTCACCCTGGTCTACAAATCCCTTCGTGGTCATGCCCCCCAACATATCTTATCTTTCTACGGGTCGCCTTCTCGCCCTCTTTGTTCTCAAACTTTGCCCTCTCTCTCTCTCTGCGTTCCACGCTTTCGCTGTCTCTTCTCGCCCACCGCACCCTTCACATTAAGCGGTCACCCGAGCTCACCAAGTTTCCGCTTCTCGCTCGAAACTCACCTCTTGTTCCCCGGCTCCACCCCATGACCCCTCATAGCCACCGCCGCCGTTGCTGTTCCCTCTTCATTAAATATGGCCATCACTCGATGACCCCCGTTTCATTCAATCTATTCACCATCAATTCTAGATTTAAAGCTTTCGTGACTGCTAGGATCCGTACTCTTTGGTTCTATTCACCATCATTTACTTTTGAGAATAATACCCTTTTGTTCATTTCGGTAAAAGGTCACGTAATTTAGAAATAAAATGAAATAGAAGAAATCACGACGTTTCGATTGCAACACGAGCAATCATCATCACCATCATCATCAGGTGGGAAAAGCACAACAAGAAAAAAATTCCTGAAGTGGGTGAGAGAGCTGCCGTGGCAAGAGGTTAAACGAATCATTTGGCGGGACCCCCGGGGTCCCGTAAAAAAATCGGGTCAATAATAATAATTATTTTTCAGTCCGCCCCACTCGTGAGCCCGCCCAGACTCGCGCCAACAAGCGCCAGCAGCAGCAGCGGGCGGCGATCGACACGACGGGCGCCACCCCGCCGGACAAACGCGAGCCCCCGGGGGGGCGTCCGCCGCGGTCGCGCGCGGCGACGACGCCCTCCGGTCAGCCGTCGATCCTCGGCTTCTTTGCCAATGCGCGCCCGCCACCCCCCCCCCCCCCCCCAGGCGGTGAATTTAACGTGTTTGTGTAATTTTTCAACTTTTTACGAAACTTAGTGTCCCCCGAGTAGCTCTCGACGAGGCCAATCGATTGACCACTAGCTTTGTTGTCGGTAAGGCAACAGGACTCGTGCCGCTACGCGGTTTTTCCCAACCCCGGGGCAGTGATGGGACCCCGGGGGTCCCGCCAAATGCTTCATCTACTCAGGGTGGGGTGGGTGGGGCGAACGGCCTAGATGAGTGATGAGCAGCCACCCTGACGAGCCGGTGGGCCACAAGAGGGGCTCTCCCTCACCTCCAGGACCACCTCGCCATGACCCCGCGCGTCGCCCTGGACCAGGGGGGGTCTGCAACCTAAACGTGTAACAACGAGACCCATTCGTTATGAATTCAGTAAACAAAACGGAGCCCAGTGTTTCAAGAGCCGCAATGCAATGTGATGAATCGCGAGACGACGGGGACCCCAAATAAGCAGCGTGTCACGGAGCGGCGGGTCTAGACGCACCTAGACCAGGCCACCACGCGGAGCTCCACGGGACTGCCGGTTGCCCACCCCTGGTCTAGACTCGCTTAGACCAGGCCACCACGCGGAGCTCCACGGGACCGCCGGTTGCCCACCCCTGGTCTAGACTCGCTAAGACCAGGCCACCACACGGAGCTCCACGGGACCGCCGGTTGCCCACCCCTGGTCTAGACTCGCTAAGACCAGGCCACCACGCGGAGCTCCACGGGACCGCCGGTTGCCCACCCCTGGTCTAGACTCGCTAAGACCAGGCCACCACGCGGAGCTCCACGGGACCGCCGGTTGCCCACCCCTGGTCTAGAGACACTTGGACCAGGCAACGTATGGTGCGAAAGAAATTAAACATACATACACTGTACACTACACTATACACTACACTATACACTACTATACACTACACTATACACTACTATACACTACACTACTATACACTACACTATACACTACTATACACTTCACTATACACTACAATGTACACTACACTATACACTACACACTACTATACACTATACACTACGCTATACTACACACTACTATACACTACACACTACACTGAGTGAATGGGTGAGTGGGTGAATGGTTGGGTGAGTGGGTGAGTGAGTGAGTGGGTGAATGGTTGGGTGAGTAACACGGGCCAGAGAAGAGATACATAGAGCCCTATAGATATACAGAGTCCCACAGATATACATAGAGACCCATAGAGACCCACATGGATAGTAACAACAGCGTGCAGTGTGTCAGTGCTTCGGCTTGGCTCGCATCCATCGTTCCGTGTTGAGTCGTGGATGTTGGTGCATCCACCCTCGTTTCCGAACACCCCTCCCCCCACCACCACCCCCCACGTTTCCCCCCTCCCCCTCCAGGGCGCGCTCCGTCTCCCGCGGGGAGGGCCCCGCTCAGAGCGGGGGGAGGCCACCGGCTGCTCCACGGCCCCCCCCCACCACCGTGGAGCCAGGTTCGCGACCCTCCCGATCCTCCTCCTCTGCCCCATCCTCCTCCCGATCCTCCTCCTCCCGATCCTCCTCCTCCCGATCCTCCTCCTCCCGATCCTCCTCCTCCCGATCCTCCTCCTCCCGATCCTCCTCCTCCCGATCCTCCTCCTCCCGATCCTCCTCCTCCCGATCCTCCTCCTCCCGATCCTCCTCCTCCCGATCCTCCTCCTCCCGATCCTCCTCCTCCTCTGCCCTATCCTCCCGATCCTCCTCCCGATCCTCCTCTTCCCCATCCTCCTCCTCTTCCCCATCCTCCTCCTCCTCTTCCCCATCCTCCTCCTCCTCTTCCCCATCCTCCTCCTCCTCTTCCCCATCCTCCTCCTCTTCCCCATCCTCCTCCTCTTCCCCATCCTCCTCTGCCCCATCCTCCTCCTCTGCCCCATCCTCCTACCGATCCTCCTCCCGATCCTCCTCCTCCCGATCCTCCTCCTCTTCCCCATCCTCCTCTGCCCCATCCTCCTCCTCTGCCCCATCCTCCTCCCGATCCTCCTCCTCCCGATCCTCCTCCTCTTCCCCATCCTCAAGATCCAACCCACTTCCTCCTCCCGATCCTCGCCCCAATTGGCCATTGTGAATCTACGCCCCGGGTCTCTGCTGTGGACCCAGGAGATGTTGACTACTTCGCCTGGTCTACAGGAGGTCGTGGGTTCGATCCAGACCCTGACTACGCCCGCTGCTGCTGTATATTTGTGTGTGGCTAGGAGATGTTGACTACCTCGCCGGGTACACAGGAGGTCGTGGGTGCGATCCAGACCGTGACAACGCCTCCTGCTGTATATTTGTGTGGAGCTAGGAGATGTTGACTACCTCGCCGGGTACACAGGAGGACGTGGGTGCGATCCAGACCGTGACAACGCCTCCTGCTGTATATTTGTGTGGAGCTAGGATATGTTGACTACCTCGCCGGGTGTACAGGAGGTCGTGGGTTCGATCCAGATCCTGGCAACGCCCGCTGCTGCTGTATATTTGTGTGGAGCTAGGAGATGTTAACTACCTCGCCGGGTACACAGGACGTCGTGGGTTCGATCCAGACCCTGACAACGCCCGCTGCTGCTGTATATTTGTGTGGAGCTAGGAGATGTTGACTACCTCGCCGGGTACACAGGACGTCGTGGGTTCGATCCAGACCCTGACAACGCCTCCTGCTGTATATTTGTGTGTGGCTAGGAGATGTTGACTACCTCGCCGGGTACACAGGAGGTCGTGGGTGCGATCCAGACCATGACAACGCCTCCTGCTGTATATTTGTGTGGAGCTAGGAGATGTTGACTACCTCGCCGGGTACACAGGAGGACGTGGGTGCGATCCAGACCGTGACAACGCCTCCTGCTGTATATTTGTGTGGAGCTAGGATATGTTGACTACTTCGCCTGGTCTACAGGAGGTCGTGGGTTCGATCCAGACCCTGACTACGCCCGCTGCTGCTGTATATTTGTGTGTGGCTAGGAGATGTTGACTACCTCGCCGGGTACACAGGAGGTCGTGGGTGCGATCCAGACCGTGACAACGCCTCCTGCTGTATATTTGTGTGGAGCTAGGAGATGTTGACTACCTCGCCGGGTACACAGGAGGACGTGGGTGCGATCCAGACCGTGACAACGCCTCCTGCTGTATATTTGTGTGGAGCTAGGATATGTTGACTACCTCGCCGGGTGTACAGGAGGTCGTGGGTTCGATCCAGATCCTGGCAACGCCCGCTGCTGCTGTATATTTGTGTGGAGCTAGGAGATGTTAACTACCTCGCCGGGTACACAGGACGTCGTGGGTTCGATCCAGACCCTGACAACGCCCGCTGCTGCTGTATATTTGTGTGGAGCTAGGAGATGTTGACTACCTCGCCGGGTACACAGGACGTCGTGGGTTCGATCCAGACCCTGACAACGCCTCCTGCTGTATATTTGTGTGGAGCCAGGAGATGTTGACTACCTCGCTAGGTACACAGGAGGTCGTGAGTGCGATCCAGACCGTGACAACGCCTCCTACTGTATATTTGTGTGGAGCTAGGAGATGTTGACTACCTCGCTGGGTATACAGGAGGTCGTGGGTTCGATCCCGACCCTGACAATGCCTGCTGCTGTATATTTGTGTGGAGCTAGGAGATGTTGACTACCTCGCCGGGTATACAGGAGGTCGTGGGTTCGATCCAGACCGTGACAACGCCCGCTGCTGCTGTATATTTGGAGTCTCCATCTCTCTCCCCGTGGTGACATGTTAACTACCTCGCCTGGTCTGCAGGAGGCCGTGGGTTCGATCCCGATTTTTCTCGATCGCGCGAGGCTCCTCCGGCCTCACGGAGCGACGGAGGGGGCAGGAGGAGATCTTCCCGGCCGTGAGATGTCGCGTCGTAGAGGGGCCGACGAGCCCCGGGGACACCCTGCTGCTGCCGCTACTGGTGAGTCATCCTCTAGGTGCACCTAGCCTGGCGCTAGCGGCCGTGGTGATGGTGGCGGTGACGTACCCGGCCACCCTGACGATGCCTGCTGCTGCGTCTCTCTTCTCTCTCATCACATAGAGACCCATAGCCTCAATACACAGAGACCCATAGCGTCATTACATAGAGACCCATAGCCTCATTACATAGAGACCCATAGCGTCATTACATAGAGACCCATAGCCTCATTACATAGAGACCCATAGCGTCATTACATAGAGACCCATAGCGTCATTACATAGAGACCCATAGCCTCGTTACATAGAGACCCATAGTGTCATTACACAGAGACCCATATCCTCATTACATAGAGACCCATATCCTCATTACATAGAGACACATAGCGTCATTACATAGAGACCCATAGCCTTATTACATAGAGACCCACAGCCTCATTACATAGATACCCATAGCCTCATTACATAGAGACCCATAGCCTCATTACATAGAGACCCATAGCCTTATTACATAGAGACCCACAGCCTCATTACATAGAGACCCATAGCCTCATTACATAGAGACCCATAGCCTCATTACATAGAGACCCATAGCCTCATCACATAGAGACCCATAGCCTCATTACACAGAGACCCATAGCCTCATTACATAGAGACCCCATATCCTTATTAATCGGAGGTGCAGTGTATTGTTTAGTACTGTCGTCTATATTAGTGTAGTGTATAGTAGTGTCGTGTATGGTGTAGTGTATAGTAGTGTCGTGTATAGTGTAGTGTATAGTCGTGTCGTGTACAATTTTGTGTATAGTGTAGTGTATAGTGTAGTTTATAGTGTAGTTTGTAGTGTGGTATGTAGCGTATAGTGCGGTTGGCACACTACACTATACACTGCGTGCGGCACTGCACGCCCGTACCACAATCGCCCATCTTGTTCACATGACGGGGCGGCATCAGCCGCGGAGTCTCATCGCTCTGTTGCCGTCGCGCAATGGGACAGGCCGGGCGGGGCCCTCGCCACCGGAGCCGTGCGCTGAGCAAACGGACGAAGCGGGGTCTGGGCACGAGGGCTGGCGGCCGGTGAAAACGGAGAGGGAGGAAGACTCCCCCGGCGACAACGCCGGTGAGTCGGGACGCCTCTGCGCGTCGCGCGGACCGGGAGAGAAAGGTGGGAGGTTGAATTCCTGTTGGTGGGCGTCGTCTGGAAAACGCGGCAACGGCGGACGTGTCGGTGGTCCGTGACTTGGCGGAGAAGACAGATCTGGCCGTCGCCTGACGAAGCTGGTTGTGATTGCGGGCGAAACGTCGTACTCAGATTGTAAATGTTGTGGCTTGGCTCTCCAACGCACCGGTGTGCTGCACTAGTACACTACATTATAAACTACGCTACTATACACTACACTATAAACTACACTATACACTACACTATACACTACACGATACACTACTATACACTACACTATACACTACTATACAATACACGAAACACTGCACTATACACTACACTATACACTACACTACTACACTATACACTACTAAAAAATACACTACACTATACACTATTATACACTGCTATACACTACACTATACACTACTATAAAATACACTACACTATACACTACATTATACACTACTATAAAATACACTACACTATACATTACACTATACACTACTATACACTACACACTAGTGCTGTACTCGAGACGAATTGGCACGTTCTGTTTACGTGACAACCCTTACGAGTTGGCGGTGTCGGATGGTGGCGGGTTTTAACGACACAACATTTTTATATTTACGTGGTATAACCCATGCCTCCCTGTTAAACAGACAGAACTGTCTGTAGCCTATACAAAAATAAAACTAGAAACGGTATGAAGAATAATATTAGGTGTTTTTTTCTTTACCCTTTTTGACTGTGGTTTAGTCTCCGGGCCGTCCGGTTTTCCCCTCCACGTTTAGAATGAACGTCACGCATTTAGGGCATTTGGCCGCTGCTGTAAATGCCCACGTGATGACGATGATGATGAAATCAGCCACTTCGATGAGCTGCCATCATTTGTGCCAGCCATACGTGCTGCACAGTAGCTTGGTGGGGCCTTAGTTTAAAATAGATGGTGTGGAGAAGATTAGCGGGGCGGAGAGGTCATGGCAACAGATGCCTGTTCGGACTGAGAGTCGTAAGTTCGACCGCCACGCGATAGACGGCGGTGGTGGCATCTACATCTGCAGAACATGAAGAACCGGTGGCATCTACAGAACGTGAAAAACCAGCGGCATCTACATCTCCAGAACGTGAAGAACCGGTGGCATCTACAGAACGTGAAGAACCAGCGGCATCTGCAGAACGTGAAGAACCAGTGGCATCTACAGAACGTGAAGAACCAGCGGCATCTACATCTACAGAACGTTAAGAACCAGTGGCATCTACATCTACAGAACGTGAAGAACCAGTGGCATCTACATCTGCAGAACGTGAAGAACCAGTGGCATCTACATCTACAGAACGTGAAGAACCAGTGGCATCTACATTTGCAGAAAGTGAAGAACCAGTGGTATCTACATCTACAGAACGTGAAGAACCAGTGGCATCTACATCTGCAGAACGTGAAGAACCAGTGGCATCAACATCAACAGAACGTGAAGAACCAGTGGCATCTACATCTCCAGAACGTGAAGAACCGGTGGCATCTACAGAACGTGAAGAACCAGCGGCATCTACATCTGCAGAACGTGAAGAACCAGCGGCATCTGCAGAACGTGAAGAACCAGTGGCATCTACAGAACGTGAATAACCAGCGGCATCCACATCTGCAGAACGTGAAGAACCAGTGGCATCTACATCTGTGGAACGTGAAGAACCAGTGGCATCTACGTCTACAGAACGTGAAGCAGCAGTGGTATCTGCATCTGCAGAACGTGAAGAACCAGTGGTGTCTACATCAGCAGAACGTGAAGAACCAGTGGCATCTACATCTACAGCACGTGAAGAACCAGTGGCATCTACATCTGCAGAACGTGAAGAACAAGTGGCATCTACAGAACGTTAAGAACCAGTGGCATCTACATCTGCAGAACGTGAAGAACCAGTGGCATCTACATCTACAGAACGTGAAGAACCAGTGGCATCTACATCTACGGGACGTGAAGAACCAGTGGCATCTACATCTACAGAACGTGAAGAACCAGTGGCATCTACATCTACAGAACGTGAAGAACCAGTGGCATCTACATCTGCAGAACGTGAAGAACCAGTGGCATCTACATCTACAGAACGTGAAGAACCAGTGGCATCTACATCTGCAGAACGTGAAGAACCAGTGGCATCTACATCTGCAGAACGTGAATAACCAGTGGCATCTACATCTACAGAACGTGAAGAACCAGTGGCATCTACATCTACAGAACGTTAAGAACCAGTGGCATCTACATCTACAGAACGTGAAGAACCAGTGGCATCTACATCTACAGAACGTGAAGAACCAGTGGCATCTACATCTACAGAACGTGAAGAACCAGTGGCATCTACATCTGCAGAACGTGAATAACCAGTGGCATCTACATCTACAGAACGTGAAGAACCAGTGGCATCTACATCTACAGAACGTGAAGAACCAGTGGCATCTACATCTACAGAACGTGAAGAACCAGTGGCATCTACATCTACAGAACGTGAAGAACCAGTGGCATCTACATCTACAGAACGTGAAGAACCAGTGGCATCTACATCTACAGAACGTGAAGAACCAGTGGCATCTACATCTACAGAACGTGAAGAACCAGTGGCATCTACATCTGCAGCGTCTCGCCTGACGGGCGACCGCCCCTCCTCGGACGACGGAGCCTCGGACGATCCCCTCATCGCTGACCGTGCCGCAAGGATTCGCGCGCGGTTCTAAAGCGATGCGTCTAGCGGCGGCGCCGGCGGGTTTAACGGCGCAGCGTTTGTACGCTGGCGCTGCTCATCGCTGAGCGACGTTTCGCGTCTCTCTCTCTCAGCTCGCAGAGCCGAGGTTCCGATCAAGGAGGAGGAGGAGGAGAATGTCGCGAGCGACGGGGGAGTCCCAGAGAGTCCGGCTACCGACGATGACGGTGGCCGTGCTGGGAGGCGCGGAGAGGCACTGCGGCTAGCGTGGGGAGACCGGGCTGCTGCCATTGCTGCTGCTGCTGCTGCTGCGGCTCCGACGGACACGGCGGAGATCGAGGTGGTGGTGGAGGACGACGGCGACGGTAAGTCGGGGCATGGTAGGGGGCGTGGTAGGGGCGTGGTAGGGGCGTGGTAGGGGGTGTGGTAGGGGGCGTAGTAGGAGCGTGGTAGGAGCGTGGTAGGCGGCGTGGTAGGGGGCGTGGTAGGGGCGTGGTAGGAGCTTGGTAGGAGCTTGGTAGGGGCGTGGTAGCGGTGTGGTAGGGGGCGTGGTAGCGGTGTGGTAGGGGCGTAGTAGGGGCGTGGTAGGGACGTGGTAGGGGCGTGGTAGGCGCTTAGTAGGAGTGTGGTAGGAGCTTGGTATGGGCGTGCTAGGGGCGTGCTAGGGGCGTGGTAGGGGGCGTGGTAGGGGCGTGGTAGGGACGTGGTAGGGACGTGGTTGGAGCTTGGTAGGGGCGTGGTAGCGGTGTGGTAGGGGCGTGGTAGCGGTGTGGTAGGGCGTGGTAGCGGCGTGGTAGCGGCGTGGTAGGGGCGTGGTAGGGGCGTGGTAGCGGTGTGGTAGGGGCGAACGAGCAAGGTTTTACGTACCGATTTATGGGAAGGTGCGGATAGAATAGCGGCGGATTCAAGGCGTCATTTTTATTTTTTGTGTTCGCCATCCACCACTCAATTGTGAGTGGATCTCGTCGGAGCATTCGTGACGGCAGTCTGGGATTCGCGGCCGTGGGCGCTCGCCACGCCTGCCCAGGTCTTCGGTGGCCGCCGTCGGTGCATCGTCGGTTGGCCGACGGTCGACCAATCGGCGGCGTGGGAGGTTGAGGGCCGGGGGTGGGGGAGGTTCCGCCGACTGCGGGAGACGTCGCCCGCAGTCCGCGTTCTCGGCTTCGTATTCTGGGTCGCTTATGCGAGACCGTTGATTGTGTCTCCCTCCCTCCCTCTCCTCCTTCCCCTCCCTCCCCTCCTTCCCCTCCCTCCCCTCCTTCCCCTCCCTCCCCTCCTTCCCCTCCCTCCCCTCCCTCCCTCTCCTCCCTCTCCTCCCTCCCCTCCCTCCTCTCCTTCCCCTCCCTCCCCTCCCTCCCCTCCCTCCTCTCCTTCCCCTCCCTCCCCTCCCCTCCCTCCTTTCCCTCCCTCCGCTCCCTCCCTCTCCTCCTTCCTTCTCCTCCCTCCCTTCCCTCCCTTCCCTCCCCTCCCTCCCTCCCCTCCCCTCCCTCCCTCCCTCCTCTCCTTCCCCTCCCTCCCCTCCCTCCCCTCCCTCCTCTCCTTCCCCTCCCTCCCCTCCCCTCCCTCCTTTCCCTCCCTCCGCTCCCTCCCCTCCTTCCTTCCCCTCCCTCCCTTCCCTCCCTTCCCTCCCCTCCCTCCCTCCCCTCCCCTCCCTCCCTCCCTCCCTCCCTCCCTCCCTCCTCTCCTTCCCCTCCCTCCCCTCCTTTCCCTCCCTCCCCTCCCTCCCCTCCCTCCCCTCCCTCCTCTCGTTCCCCTCCCTCCCTTCCCTCCCTCCCTCCCCTCCCTCCCTCCCTCTCCCTCCCACGCGGCCCCCTCTTTTACAAAGCAAGGTTACCCCGCGGGCCTGGCGTTCTCGGCGGCGGCGGCGGCGGCCGCGGCGAAGAGGAAGCGCGTCGTGCTGACCATCGAGCAGAAGTTCGAGATCCTCTCGCGCATCGAAACGGGCCACACGAGGGAGAGGATCGCGGCCGACTTCGGCATCGGCAAGAGCACCGTCACGTCCATCAAGAAGGCGGAGGCGAGCCTCAAGTCGTTCGTCGAGTCCACCGAGTCCTTCACCTCCTGCAGGCAGCGGAAGATCATGCGCGGCGCCCAGGACCACCAGCTGGACAGCGCCGTCTTCACGTGGCTCGTGCAGCGGCGGAGCGAGGGCCTGCCCGTGTCCGGCCCCATCGTGAGCGACAAGGCCAAGCAGCTCAACGCCATCCTGGGCGGCGACCCCGACTTCAAGGCGTCGACCGGCTGGCTGAAGCGCTTCCAGCAGCGGCACGGCATACGGCAGCTCTGCTGCGTGCGGGGCGGCCGGCTCCCCGCCGCGGCCGCCGCCGCCGCCGCCGCCGCGGCCGCTGCCGAGGCGGCCGAGGCGGAGGAGGAGGAGGAGTGGACGCGTTGCGACGGCAGAGGCGAGTCCGGCTACCGCATCCTTGCGGACGAGGACATCGACGCGCTGGTGACGGAGACCGAAGCGTCGGGGCGTGTGGCAATGGACGAGGAGGATGATGAGGAGGAGGAGGAGGAGGGGGGCGTGGAGGGGGACTTCAATGGCGAGGAGGAGGAGGAGGAGGTGGCGGAGGGCCCCGGCTGCGGCGTCTCGCACGCCGAAGCCGGCGAGTGCCTCCGGAGGGCGCTGCGCTGGCTGGAGCGGCAGCCCGAGGCTCGACCTCAGCAGCTGGCGCTGCTGCGGTCGCTGGTCGGCATGGCCGCCGAGAAGGAGAGATCGCCATGCGGGCGGGCGAACGGAGAAGCGTTGACCAAATAGAGAAAGGGACCCTTCGATCCGTGGTTCGATCCCCCCTCAACCTACCCTCGCCTCCCTCCGCCCCCCTCCGCCTCCCACGCCCCCCGACGAGGCTCGTCACGTTCAACCGAGGCGTTATTATTTATTCGCGTGCCGACGATCGTTGTATTTATCGAGGTTCCGACCAATAAAGCTCCACCCCCCCTACCCCCCCCCTCCCGCCGCCCGTGCCCGGCGGCTTACAAGAACCGTTCCCTTGCCACGGAATTCGGCGGCGTCAGACCCCAACATCGAACCGATGTCTCATTTTCACATCCACCACCACCACCAACTACTACTACTACGACTACTAGACACACACCGAGAGCGGCTTCGGCCGGGGGCGCTTCTTGCACCCGGAGCCTGCGAAGGACGACGTCAGCAACGGGGTGATGTGGGTCGTCGCCGTGCGGAGACCCCGTGGGGTCACACCCCCTCCCCCCACGTGGACCCCGTGGGGTTCCCCCCCCCCCTCCCACGTGGACCCCGTGGGTTTCCCACCGCGTGCACTGTACACGGATAGCCACGCGCACTGTACACGGATAAGCGTGTGTGCTGTACACGGAAACTGCGCAAACTGTACACGGAAACCCACGTGCACCGTACATGGATAACCACGTGTACCGTACACGGATGACCACGTGTACTGTACACGGACAGCCACGTGCACTGTACACATAACTGCGTGTACCATACACGGATAACCACGTGCACTGTACACGGATAACCACGTGTACTGTACACGGACAGCCGCGTGCACTGTACACAGATAACCGCGTGTACCATACACGAATAACCACGTGCACTGTACACGGATAACCACGTGCACCGTACACAGATAACCACGTGCAGAGCACTGCCATTTCTATACGGAGGAAATCCGATGGCACTTCTTAACCCCCCATTTAAAAGATTGACACTGCAGCAACATCCCTCCCTCTGGATGCGACGAGTTGCATTTGCCTATTTCATTTTCCATTCTAGATTTTTGAAGTTTTCGTGACTGCAATGGTCCACACTCGTTTGCTTCTTTCGGTGAAGTCGCCGTACGTAGAGGAAATAAAAGATAAAAACAATTAAATAAATCAAGGATTTAGTGGCTGACCACTGATGAGGACCGCTTGTGTTGCGATCGAAACGTCGCGATTTAATTAATTTTTACCTTTTATTTTTCTTTACTCGCGGTGACTTTACCGAAAGAACCAGAGTGTGTGTTTCATTATCGCCATCATTTTTTTTTATTGAAAGCTTTCGTGACTGCAGGGAATTTACATTCTTGGTTCTTTCGGTAAAGTCGCCGCGTTAGAAGGGAGACAATAAAATAATAAAATATAAAAAATAAAATTCTCACGACGTTTCGACTGCAACACGAGCAGCAATCGTCATCAGGTGAGAAAACCACGGCAGTAATTTTTTTTAAAAAGTGGCGATTTTTTTTTACGTATAACCGCCACTTTTTTCATATTTTCTTGCTGTGGTTTTCACACCTGATGACGATTGCTGTTCGTGCTGCAGTCGAAACTTCGTGAAAATTTTATTTTATATTTGTTATTATTTTATTGTTTCCCTTCTACGCGGTGGTGACTTTACCGAAAGAACCAAGAATAATAATTTAATTGTTTTACAATAATTTTATTGTTTTATTTTTATTATTTTATTGTTTCCCGTCAGGCGGCGGCCAGAGTTGTTGTTTAACCAGGCTGCTCATATTCTTGGTTCTTTCGGTAAAGTCACCACGTAGAAGGGAAACAATAAAATATTAAAAATATAAAACGATAAACTTCTCACGACGTTTCGACTGCAACACGAGCAGCAATCGTCATCAGGTGAGAAAACCACGGCAGTAATTTTTTTTAAAAGTGGCGGGTTTTTTTTCAACGTATAACCGCCACTTTTTTCAAATTTTCTTGCCGTGGTTTTCACACCTGATGACGATTGCTGCTTTGTGTTGCAGTCGAAAACGTCGTGAGGATTTAATTGTTTTATATTTTAATTATTTTATTGTTTCCCTTCTACGTGGTGGTGACTTTACCGAAAGAACCAAGAATGTGTTTTATTTGTTATTATTTTATTGTTTCCCTTCTACGTGGTGGTGACTTTACTGAAAGAACCAAGAATACAATGACAATAGTTTAAAGCGATTTGAAGCATGTTTTTTTTTTTGGGGGGGGGGGGGGGCAGAGCTTTGTGACGTCATATTTGAGGGGGGCGGGGTTGACTTTTTGTGACGCCGTGTGACGATGGGGGGTGGGGGGGGTCAAAGATCGCGTGACGTCATTTATGGACGGCCCCTTAAACGTTGGACGCTTAAGTCGGATTCGTTCTCCTCCACCCCCCACCTCTGTCTCTCCCCTCCACAGCGACTTAAATCAGAAGCCTCGCGTGCTCAAATGTGGCAAGCAAACTCAACCACCCACCACAAGGTATCTCTCCATTCGGCGAGTTACGGGAAGCAGCAACAGCAGCTAAAATCATAAAGCGCTGATGTGGACTACAATATTCAAAAATGGCCTGGCACGATCGTGCTTATGCGCGTTACAAAATCAAACGCGCGCCCATGCTGGCCGCGGGGACCAACTGTCAACATAGCAACGGGCGTCACCTGTCAACGGCGTCCCTTAGCAACGGCGTCCCAAGCAAACGGGCGTCGCAACAAACGTCCGTTGCAACGGCGTCCCTGGCAACAGGCGTCCCTGGCAACGGCGTCCCAAGCAACAGGCGTCCCTGGCAACAGCGTCTACAGCAACAAGCTTCCCTAGCAACAGGGGTCCCTGGCAACGGCGTCGCGAGCAACAGCTGGGCCTGCTCTCTGTGACAGGAGCCTGGCGATTGAACGAGGTAAAGAATGAGAGGTTTTAGTGATTGAACGAGAGAGGAATGAGATCGATTTTGACCTCTTAAAAAACTTTTTATTAAAACAAATACTTCACGATTCTGGTTGTGTGTGTGTGTATAGAGGCCGAGACCGAGACAAAGAATCGGAATCAGCATCTTGTATTTATACTGGAGGAATCAGATGAGCTATGAAGCTCTTTAATCACAGATGTCGAGTTGGGGGCACCGGGTCAGAACGTAACAACAACACAGAACTCGCAAACACGAAAGAAGTGCAAAGTGCACGGCGGTTAAACAATCACACAGACACAGACACATGCACACAGACACACAGATAGATACACACAGACACACCGATACACACAGACACACATACACAGATACACACAGACACACAGATATACACAGATACACAGACACACAGATACACAGATACACCCAGACACACAGATACACCCAGACACACACAGACACCGATACAGACACACACAGATACACCCAGACACACACAGACACCGATACACACAGACACACACAGATACATACAGATACACACAAGCACAGACGGATACACACAAGCACAGACAGATACACACAGACGGATACACACAGACACAGATACACACAGACACACAGACACAGATACACACAGACACAGATACACACAGATACACACAGACACAGATATACCCAAACACATACACACAAACACACAGACACAGATACACACAGACAGATACAGATACACACACACAGAGACACACAGACACACACAGATACACAGACATACACAGATTCGCACATACACACACAGATACACAGACACACAGATACACACAGACACACACAGATACACACAGACACAGATATACACAGACACACACAGTCACACACAGATACACACAGACACATACAAATACACACAGACACAGAGACACACACACAGATACAACAACAACCGCCATTCGCCACTAAGTGGCGGTGACCTCACCACGACTCTTGTGCCAGGCCATGTGCACCTTGAGGCCATGTGAAGTGTCGAACGCCCGCGGGCAGGAGGTCAGGTGCCACGGGTCGACTGACTGAGATGACTGGCTGATGCGCCACCTGTGCCCCCTACTGTGCCAATCCGCTGTGCTTTAGCCACCCGGCGCTCCGCTCGTTGTTGTGAGCGTCGCTCCTCCGCCCTCCGTTGTTGTTGGAGGGCGACTGCCTCCAACTGCCTAGTAGCATCCTTCACGAGCCTCCTCCACAGAGGCCGATCTTGACAGCGCTGGTACCAGTCATCGGCAAGTCCACTCAGCTCCACGTCCTCCTGTACCACATCACTCCATCTCTTCTCCAGCCCGTGCCGCGCCCGTTTAGCCCCTTCAATCCGGCCGAACAAAAGCAGTTTCGGCATGCGGTAGCTGGGCATGTGGGCTACATGACCCAGCCAACGCAGCCTTGCCTGCCGGAGGAGCTCACCGATGGGATATTGCCCAGATCGTTCAAGGATTTGTGAGCTCCTCACACAATCCAGCCTAGTTAAACCCAGGATGGATCGTAGGCAGGCCAGCCTAAATGTTTCCAACCGGCGAAGATGCTCCATTAAGGGGGTCCACATTTCGCAAGCATAGAGAAGGGAGGGAATGACCGTGGCCGAGAAGACCTGAAGCTTAGTGCGGAGCGACAGACCAGGTAGCTTCCACACAGCGTTACGCAACCGATGAAAAGATATTGCCGCTCGATTGATTCAGAGACCTCTGCTGTTAAACTGGAGCCGGTCATAAGCACACTGCCCAGGTATGGGAAACTCTCCACTCTCTCCACAACTGCCCCATCACCGATTGGGAGTTGTGGGGGTGGAGTGTCCGATGATACAAAATACCCAGGCAGGTGCTTAGTTTTGGTGGGGCTGATGGTAAGGCCCCATCTCACTCCTCAGTGTGCCGGGAAAGGTCCTGGCAAGGATTATTCAACATCGCCTTGCCAGGCACGCTGAGGAGAGGCTTGCGGAGCCCCAATGCGGTTTCAGGAAAGGGCGGTCCTGCACAGATGCCATATTTTCTGTCCGTCTGCTACAGCAGAGGTGTAGGGAATTCCAACAAGACCTACATCTCTGCTTTATTGACCTGGTCAAGGCCTATGATACCATCAGTAGGCCTGGGCTCTGGGTTGTTCGTGCTTTTGGAGTCCCTGACCCCCTGCTCACGATTATTAAGGACCTTCATGGTGGTGAGCGGGCCCGGGTAAAACTACGTGGCCGGGAGTCAGAGCCATTCCCTGTACACCTTGGGGTGCGACAGGGATGTCCTCTGGCTCCCACATGATTTAACATCTATTTTGACCACGTAGTTCGTGAAGCCTTCAATAGCTGTACCGGGAGAATTTTCATCTGGTACAGATACAATGAGAGGCTGATTGATGCCCGGGTGCGGTCAATGGCTCCCTATTGCTCAACCACGTTATGTATGTCGATGATTTGGTAATAGCTGCTCATTCAGAGGAGGAGTTGGAGATGCTGCTGCTGAGACTGGAGCGTGCCACTAAGAGATGGGGCCTTACCATCAGCCCGACCAAAACTAAGCACCTGCCTGGGTATTTTGTACCATCAGACACTCCACCCCCACAACTCCCAATCGGTGATGGGGCAGTTGTGGAGAGAGTGGAGAGTTTCCCATACCTGGGCAGTGTGCTTATGCCCGGCTCCAGTTTAACAGCAGAGGTCTCACTCCGAATCAGTCGAGTGGCAATATCTTTTCATCGGCTGCGTAACGCTGTGTGGAAGCTACCTGGTCTGTCGCTCCGCACTAAGCTTCAGGTCTTCTCGGCCACGGTCATTCCCTCCCTTCTCTACGCTTGCGAAACGTGGATCCCCTTAATGGAACATCTTCACTGGTTAGAAACATTTAGGCTAGCCTGCCTACGACCATCCTGGGTTTAACTAGGCTGGATTTTGTGAGCTCACAAATCCTTGAAAGATCTGGGCAAGGTCCATCGGTGAGCTCCTCCGGCAGGCAAGGTTGCGTTGGCTGGGTCATGTAGCCCGCATGCCCAGCCACCGCATGCCGAAACTGCTTTTGTTCGGCCGGGTCGAGGAGGCTAAACGGGCGTGGCACGGGCTAGAGAAGAGTTGGAGTGATGTGGTACAGGAGGCCGTGGAGCTGAGTGGACTTGCCGATGACTGGTACCAGCGGTGTCAAGATCGGCCTCTGTGGAGGAGGCTCGTGAAGGACGCTACTAGGCAGTTGGAGGCAGTCGCCCTCCA